AAAAAAAAAAAAAAAAAAAAAAAAAAAAAAAAAACAGAGCACCCTGCAGCTTATCAATGGGGAAAGAAAGAAAAAGGCAGCAGCTATAAGCACTCACGTAGTGGTACCTTGGCTTCACTTTCACCCCCAGCCCTACTCTTTTTATTCTTGCTGAAGATTCTAGCATTTCTTGTGAAAACAACGAAAATACAATGACCTCTTACCATCGTTACCTTGGGACATGTAAGAATTCCCAGGTGTACCCCAGAGCTCAGATTTGATCAGTGTAACATGGAATATTTTTACCAGATACCCAAATGATTCTGACTCAGAGGCTGGTGTATACCTTTGAAAAACTCCACCTAAGAGATTTCCTGACTAGATTTAAGAAACTTACTGTTATCGATTTTAAGTTTACTTGACACAATGTTTGAAAGAAATCATTTTCTCTGCGAATTCTCACATTCTGGAAAAATATTAGTGCCAATCTGATACTGACAATGGCATAAATAGTAAAAAACAAAACAAAACACACAACAACAAAAATACACTTTACCTTAGCTTGGATTTCCATTTTCAAAACTGACCCAATAATTGTCAATATGTCACTAATAATAATCATGATGTACCATCCATTGACGAATTCCATTTGATCAGAAACAGAAACTTCCTTCTTGTAATGGAGGAGGAAAAAATTGACAAATTCCTTTAGAGAAAAGAAGGTAGTCACAGTGAATTTCTTGGTCACTCACAATGTCCACAGCATTCCTAGGAAGCAGCAACCCCTACCTGCTGAAGCTGAAGTCCTGTAATCACAGATCGAAGGCACAGGATTAACGAAGTCAAGCATGTCAGAATAACAAAGGCATCAAAGATCATCATGTAGTGAGTGTTCTTCTGAACTGGAAGGAAAGAGCATTACCTGCTTATGCTGTGGGACATTAATATGGTGACCTCTACTTCTTTGTTTTGTTTTCTTTTCAATTTTTAGCCTGGTTTCTTTTAATGCCTGCATGGCACACCAAAGTATAGATGTATACTCTTCATAAAGACACTCAGATTGTCATCTGTTTTTTCCTGTACAAACAATTCTTCAAGTCCTCTCTGTGCATGGGTGCAAGTAATTCTTTAGGTGAATGAATATCTAAAGGTGAAATTGTTGGGGTAAGGCATCTGCATATTTCTAAAAGAGAAATTCTAAGCAACTGCCCTTCCAAAAGATCATACCAGTTTACATGCCTACACATATCTCCATGTCTTCTCCACCATTGTATATTAATAATCTTATATTTTTGCTGATCAAAAGAGCAAATCTCATTCCCAATGACTTGAAACACCATTTTTGTCAGGTATCAAATTACTATAGGTATTCAAGTACCTTCTCTTACCCCTTTGATGTTTTTGTGTGTTTTAGTGTGTAAAACAAGTACCTCTCATTAGTGTTTTATTGGCTACTCTTGCCTGTTTTTTTCCTTCATATATTCTTGAGGATCTGATTGTTAAATTCCAATAAAAATCCTACTGGTAGTTTTTTTGGGTAGGGTGGATCATGTTAAATTTATAAATTAATTTAGGGAGAATTGGCATAAACGTGATGTTAAATCTCTTATCCAAAAATATGATGTGTTTCCCATTGATTCAAGTCTTTTTGTTTCCTTCATAAGCAATTTCAAATTTTATCTAAACCCTTCACGCTGCTTTTTAGAGTAATTTAGATAATTCAGACATTCTTTCCACAAAGACAACAAAGAAAAAAGGCCCTGATAAGTGTTCTTCCCATTAGTATGTAAAGAAAGTTAAAAGTCCTTTTGAAAATTACTGTCACCACCAGTAAGAGATCTTTAATTGTAAGCCTGTGGCCTTTTGTCCCTAATACAGTTAGCCTTCCTGCATATCCTATTAAAATATACTTATCTGGGTATAAAATGTTTACCAAGAACCCACTATGTGGAAGGTGTTTTTCTAGATCCTGAGAACAGAAGTGAACAACACGGGCCCCCAACCTTGTGGAACTTCTCTTCTACTGCAGGGAGACATGCAGGGATGTAAACAAGTACATAAACAAAACACTTTCAGACAGGAGTAAGCGCTACCAAGAAAAGAAAGCATCATAGCCGTGGTAGTGCTATGTCACCCACAGTCCTAAGTACTTTGTAGGTATCACCTCATTTGATCCTCACGGCAACCCCAACGAGGGTGTGTGTGTGTGATTATCCCCACTGGACAGGTGAGAAACTGGAGCACAGAGAGGTCATGGAAACTCGCCCGAGGTGACGTAGCCAGCACATGGCAGAGCCAGGATTCAAACCTCTGCAGTCTGTCTCAGGCACCTGCCACTCTAGATTAGTGATACGTGGCAGCCCTTGGGCACTGTTGGAAATGCACACTCCGGCCCCACCCTAGACCCGTTGAATCAGAAACTGCACTTTCACAAGCTCTCGCAGATGACACTAGAGCTCAAGAACCACTGGTCTAGAAGCAGCACACCGCTGGTGTGGGTGGTGGAGGGGAATAGGCTCGTTCATGCAGCATGGTAAGGGCCAGCAGGTCTCAGGGGAGACCTGAGTGACAAGACTGCTCCTGACTGATAAAAAAGTAACAAGCACTTAAGACTGGTTCTGTAATGGGGCACCGGGGTGGCTCAGTCAGTTAAGCATCAGACTCGATTTCGGCTCAGGCCACCATCTCATGGTTCATGACTCACAGTGCAGAGCCTTCTTGGGATTCTCTTCCCTTCCCTTATCTCTCTGTGCTCTCCCCAGCTCATGTGTGCATTCTCTTTCTCTCAGAATAAACTAACTTAAAAAAAATCCATTAAAAAACCACAGTTCTGTAATGAAGCATCCCATTAATACTGGCCAAGGGGCATCTAATTGTTACTAAAATGTCCAAGTCTACTTTAGAAAAGCTTAAAAACTAAAAAACAAGCATTTGAGAGAAAGCCTGTGTGCTAGATACTTTCATATGCTCTCATGCTCCCTATTCTTTTTTTTTTTTTTTTAAAGTATTTTTATTTATTTCTAGGAGAGAGAGAGACAGTGTGAGCAGGGGAGTGTCAGAGAGAGAGGGAGTCACAGACTGAAACAGGCTCCAGGCTCTGAGCTGGCAGTCAGCACAGAGCCCGACACGGGGCTCGAACCCACGAACCGCGAGATCATGACCTAAGCGAAAAGTCGGACGCCCAACCGACTAAGCCACCCAGGCGCCCCTCATGCTCCCTATTCTAAAGTTTGTGAAGTACTATAGTGTTTACAGATGACAAAACCACCTTGTGTTTCAAATAAACAATTTCGTCATTGAAATGAAATTGTGATTTAAGAGCCTCATGTATTTGAAGCTACCTAATAGTGAGAAAAATACTAGAATGAAGAAATTTCGTATCATTTATTCATTTAAAAAATTTTTTATTATTTATTTTTGAGAGAAAGAAACAGTATGAGCAGGGGAGAGGCAGAGAGAGGGAGACACAGAATCTGAATCAGGCTCCAGGCTTTGAGTTGTTAGCACAGAGACCGTCATGGGGCTTGAACCCATGAACTGTGAGATTATGACTTGAGCTGAAGTCAAATGCCCAACTGACTGAGCCACCCAGGTGCCCCTCATATCATTTATTCTTCGTATCTTATTACTGCTTCTGAACTGTGTGAATCAACCCGCAGGTACCCCTAAAACAATTATTTTCCAAGTATGGTGTGAGTAAAGATGACCTGCACATTCCCAGGCCCCACTCTAGACCTGGGATGGCCTTGCAGGGAGCTAGGGTGATTCTTCTGCTCACTAGAATCTGAGAACCCCCGACCTAATCATTAAGTCCAGTACAACATACCAAAGGGGCTAGAAAATGAGATAGATAAATTCTTCCCAGTCCATTTTCTGGTTCAGCCCCAAAATTCTCAATGGTACTCAGTCTACACCTGAATTCATGTCCATATTTCCAAGAACATACCCTTTCTTCATTTAGTCTTTTTAACCTAGATAGTAGATATTTAACTTGTAGGATGCTTCAGGGTCAAATCCTTCCTGATGTCTCCCTGGCTGTATGACCAGGGGCACCAAGATTCACTTCTAAGCCTTAGATTCTTCATTTGCATAAATAGGGATGCTGCCTATCTCAAGGGTATTTTAAAAATATTAAAACAATGTTGCACGTTTGGGTGGCTCAGTTAAGCACCCAACTTCAGCTCAGGTCATGATCTCATGGTCCCTGAGTTCAAGCCCTGTGTCGGGCTCTGTTCCTAGAGCCTGCTTCAGATTTTGTGTCTTCCTCTCTCTCTGCCCCTCCACTGCTCATCCTCTCTCTCAAAGATAAACAAACATTTTAAAAAAATAATAAAAATAAAAATATTAAAATATACAAGGAAGCTGTTATATAGTAAGCACTCAATAAATATTAGGTCAGGTATATGTGATTTTTTGCTGGGGGGCTGTGTGCATTTTGGTAAGAACTGGGCCAGTGAGGGCACATGTAGATCATGACCTGAGATGAAACCAAGTCATGCAGAAGTCAGTAAAAGTCATCTCAATTACTAATAACGTATGTATCATCTAGAACATCAGATACCTACAACAAGTTGATCTTTTTGCAGAGAATTAGGGACTTGGCAATGCTTCAATTGTTCCCTTTGATGCTCCACATATCCTAATAATTTCATAACGCTTTTATTTAACAACCATTTGAAAAGTAGTAAAAGTCATCACTTACTTGATCCCGATACATGCCAGTCTTTACATTCTCTGATGGAAATGTCGTTATCTAAACTTATCTTAATTCTTCCACTATGGGCCTTGTTGTCAAATGTTATCTGTGAAGAACAGGAAAAGGGTAAAAAACATATCTATAGCTTTTGAAGCCAAGATGTCGCTATGCATCAATTAGGAAACAGATCTATCAAGGTGACAGGATGCCCACTCAGATTCTCATCCCCGAGTCAATGTCAACTCTGTTCAACTTTGGGAAGAGCTCTTTATTTCTCTGTGAAATGACAAGGTTGAGCAAGGCCTTCTGTTGAGAACTTTTAGTCTCTAAAATCCTGTATTTCTAGGATAGTATTCCAGCCGTGGACAACTTATAAAACAAGAGAACTTCTCTCTCCTCACTCTAAGTACCTCCAGGTGCCCTACTCCCATGAGCAAGAGCTGCTCCAAGTGTGCGTTTCCCTCCCTCCCTCCCTAGGAACCCAGCTAGGGATAGTTTTGTTTTTGTTTATTCATTTTGAGAGAGAGAGAGCGCATGCGACCAGGTGAGGGGCAGAGAGAGGGAAAGAGAGAATCCCAAGTAAGCTTTCCACTGTCAGCGCACAGCCCGATGTGAGGCTTGAACTCACAAGCTGTGAGATCATGACCTGAGCCAAAACCAAGAGTCGGACACTTAAGTGACTATCCCAGGCTCCCCAAGGGATAGTTTGGTAGTGCTGTTGCAGTTCTTATAAACACAGAGGCTCATTATTTGAGGCTTGAGACATTTCAGATAGAGCTTCTCTGATTTTCATTCTGGGCCCAAGTTTCTTATTGAAAAAGGATGTGGTGACAGGGAGTTGACAGCCATGCCTTGCTTCAAGGATCATCATGCAGGCACCAAGCAGGACAAAGCCATGCCAGAACCCCTTCCCCGGTCCCACTGTCCTCCCTTCCTGCTCTCTCCCCTGTCCCCACATGGACACAAGGAAAGCACGGCAAGGAGATCAGGTGTGGGTTTTGCCAGTTTTGTTTTGTTTTTAGTGCTTCCTGACTCAAGTCCTGAAGAAAAAACATTCTTTCAAAAGTCTGTCATTTAAATGACTTTCACTGAAGCTTTTTTGGGGGGGGAACCAGACATTACTGCAGACGTAAGGCTTCAGATAAATTTTGTGGGTCTGATCACGCTGTTTCTCTTCATGCTGGCTGTCAACTTCTTTCCTTGACAAGCGGCTAAGGGTGCTGTCAGGGTCTGCCTAGCTCCACGGCCGCCCCAGGACCTGGCCGTTGGCCTCACATAAGAAAGAGGCTTCGTATTATTTGAATGAGTCAGAAATCTTTGCCAAGGAGAATCCATGCTTTTCCCACACAGAGAGTCTCAGGATCTTACAAATAGTAAGTGCTCACCAACTATCTGCTGAGGGAATATACTTTGGTTTAATGACAATCACATATCAGTAGGGTTCACAGGAAGTGGAATTCTTTAAACAGAGAAGAAAAAAATAATGGATGGGATTAAGAACAGAGTAGATATCACAGAAAAAAAGAGTAGTGAATTTGAAAACATAATAGAAACTTCCAAATGAAACAGAAAAAATACTGGAAAATAAAACAAAAACGTAGAGCATTAGTGAGCTGTGAGAAAATTTCAAGTGACCAAATATACGTGGAATTAGAATCTCTGACTGGAGGAGGAAGGAGAAGAGACAAAAAATACTTGAAGAAGTGATGTTTAAGAAATGTCAAATATAATGGAAACTATAAACCTACAGAACCAATGCTCGATAAACTCCAAACACAAGAAACATGAAGAAAATTACACTAAGATGTATCACCATCAGAGAGAGAAAAAAAATTTTTTTTAATTTGTTTAATGTTTATTTATTTTGAGACAGAGAGAGACAGAGCATGAACAGGGGAGGAGCAGAAAGCGAGAGACACAGAATTGGAAGCAGACTCCAGGCTCTGAGCTGTCAGCACAAAGCCCAATGCAGGGCTCAAACTCACAAACCATGAGATCATGACCTGAGCTGAAGTTGGATGCTTAACCGACTGAGCCACCCAGGTGCTCCTAGAGAAATTTTTAAAGCAGCCAGGGAGCAGAGGGAACACATCCACTGGAGAGGAAAAAGATGAAGATCACAGCATGTTTCTCATCATGTTACAAACAATGTAAGCTAGAAGAAGAGCAACAACATCTTTAAAGTAATGGAGAGAAACAGTCAACCCAGAACTCCATACCCAGTGAAACTATTTTTAAAAATGAAGATGATATACTTTTTTAGGCATACAAAAGCCTTTCAGCAGACCTGCACTATAAAAAATGTTAGGGGTGCCTGGGTGGTTCAGTCAGTTGAGCATGAGACTCTTGATTTAGGCTCAGGTCATGATCCCAGGATCGTGGGATTGAGCCCCACAGCAGGCTCCACACTGAGTGGAGACTGCGTGGGATTCTCTTTCTCTCTCCCTCTGTCCCTCTTGTCTGCTTGCATGTTCCTGCTCTCTCTCTAAAATAAAAAATTAAAAAATTAAAAAAACCAACCAATAAGAACAACACATGTTAAAGGAAGCCCTTCAGACAGACGGAAGCTGATCTGAGGTAAAAACCTGGAGCTACACAACAGAACGAAGCATGCTGGAAATGGTAACTTCATGGGCCAATGTTCTTTTTTTTCCTTATTATTTAAGTTGCCTTAAAAGATAATTGTTTATGGGGTGCATGGGTGGCTCAGGAACTTGAGCACCCAACTTCAGCTCAGGTCATGATCGCATAGTTCCAACTCATACCCAACTTCAGCTCAGGTCATGATCTCATGGCTCTGTCTGTGAGTTGGAGCCCCACACTGGGCTTGTTGCTGTCAGTGTGGAGCCCATTTCAGATCCTCTTCCCCTCCCCTGCTCGTGCTCTCTTAAATGGTAAACATGAAGAGAAAGGTAATCGTTTAAATAAAAACTATTAACAGTGTATTGTATAGTTTATAACACAACTGGAAGTAAATTGTGTGACAACATAAAAGCCAAGATAGAAGAAATGGAAATATAATATGGTAAGATTCCTATACTCTACATGCAGAGGTATAACATCACTTGAAGGCAGACTATAACTGTTTGTTTATTTATGTATTTATTTAGAGAGCACACACGTGCGTGTGCACACATACACGTGTGTGTGCACACATAAGCAGGAGTGGGACAGAGAGGGAGGGAGAGAGAGAATTCCAAGCAGGCTTCATGCCTATCCCAGAGCCCAATGCAGGGCTCAATCCCATAACCTTAGGATCATCACCCAAGCCAAAATCAAGAGTTGGACACTTAACTGACTGAACCACCCAAGCACCCCTAGACTATAATAATTTAAATATATGTACTGTAAACCCTAAAATAATACAACAAAACATTACAGCTAATAAGCTAACAAATTAGCTAAAATAGTATCCAAAAATATACTTGCTCCAGGTAGAACCCAGGCAGAAAAAGAGAGAAACCATATTAATAATCACATGTAATTTAAATGGTCTAAGCACCCCAATGAAAAGGTATAGATTATGAAGTTGGACAAAAAAGCAAGACTCAACTCTATGCTGCCTAATTAAATAGTCACACCAAACCAAAGTAGATTTTAAAGCAAAGAATTAATATTGGAGTAAAAAGTACCATTTCATAATGATGTAGGAGTCAGTTCATCAGGTGTACACAAGAATCCTAGATGCTTGTGTTCCTAATAAAGAACCTCAGAATACATGATGCAAGAATGCATTAAACTGCTGTGAGTAAGTGCCAGTGCACTGCTTTTACATTCTCACCAAATCACAGATATACACAGAAAAGGTCTCATAAATATCTGTTGCATGAATTAAATATCTCCTATATACCAAATACTTAGGGAGGTCCTTTATATATCTCATATCTATGAAGTATACCAGATGGATGGATGGATGGATGGATGGATGGATGGATGGATAGATTAGATAGATAGATAGATAGATAGATAGATAGATAGATAGATAGATAGTTTAGATAGCTGTGGCAATAACTTTGGTAGGCAGGTGGGCATTAATTCTGTTTTACAAACAAGAAAACTGGGACTCAAACCAATTAAGTAATTTGCCTAAAGTTACATAGCTACTAACTGGTGAACTATAATTAAAATCTAGGCTTGCCTGATTCCAAAGCCCCTACATTTTAAATTAGGCATATACTGCCCCAGTTCATGTTTACTTAAACCATAAAGTTGCACTAATTGCTTTTATTATTAAACTACCCTGTATAGAGTATAAGTTCTACTACAGTTCTGTGAAACACACCACCAAATCCACCAAGCACAGGCAGAGCTTGGGATGAATATGCAATAATGGCAAAAATAAAGTATCTGCATGTGACTAACAGGCCAGGTAGGTCTCACCACTGTATTGAGTCATGGGAAAGGGTCTGCATTTTACAGACGTTTCTTCATTCATTCCACAAATAAATCTGAGTCACCTACTATGTTCTTTGAGGGATGAAAAAAATTAGTAGAGTGATTCCTGCTCTCAAGGAGCTTTCAATCTAGCAGAGTTGATGATAAAAATCTAGACAATCCTAAAACAAAGGAGAAGGTGGGTGAGCCCTTACAAAACATAAAAACAAAACCAAAATAAAACTCTGGAGTTCCAATCACAGAACGTGTCCCTAAATGAAGCATCACAAAAATGGTCTCTGAAGAAGGTGTCAGTTGAACTGAGCCTTAAGGATTATAAAACTTCTGAAAAGTACCATTTCTCAGTTCAAGAGTGGTGCAGGACTGGGGCGCCTGGGTGGCTCAGTCAGTTCAGTGTCTGGCTCTGGCTCAGGTCATGATCTCACTATTCGTGGGTTCGAGCCCTGAGTCAGGCTCTGTGCTGACAACTCAGAGCCTGAAGCCTACTTTGGATTCTGTGTCTCCCTCTCTCTGCCCCTCCCTCCCTTGCGCCCTGTCTCTGTGTCTCAAAAATTAAAAAAATGTTTTAAAAAAGTAAAAAAAAAAAAAAAAGAAAAGAGTGGTGCAGGAAGTGGTAAGGGAGAGGAGAAAGAAGAGACAAGACTGTGGGTAAATAATAGCTCAATTTAAACAAACTCAAGTTATATTGAAAATTTATAACCTCTTGGTTAATATTAGGATCAAAATGTGTAGCCTAACTCAAAATAGTTTCATAGTATTTGTGCTTTTTCCTTTAAATGATATGCATAACTATTAATTATACTACATTCTGAATTTTTTTTAAACTTGATTTTTCATAGCCTGTTGTTGCATATCATGGACACAGCTCTGGTACAAACTACTGCTGAAGTCATAGTAATCTGGACTGAGTGAAGGCAAGGTGTACTGAATGCTGTTCAGCCTATGCCCCATATAGCATTGGGCTCCTGACCCTGAGCCTCATGAGATGACGAACTCACATGGCAAGCATCTCACGTTCTCCGGAGAGCATTAAAAGTCCCATTTGCAACTGGCACATACAGAACAGAGATGTGATAGGTGGGCCCAAGGGGGAGAAAACTGAGCATTTAGAGGTAGCCCAAGGAAGGCACTGTGAACAGTAACCCAAAAGCTGCACACATCTACGGCAAGGAGACTGGAGACTCAGCAGCAAGAACCCTTGGCAATGGCCGTACGCAGTCAGCCCCAGATTGCCAAGAGCCAACTGCATGGGACCTCCAAGTCTCTGCTCCTTTTGTCTTTGAACACCCACTCTGTGCCAGGCACCGTTCTTGGGACTGGAGACATTGCACTGAACAAGGCGAGGTCCCAGCCCTCACAGAACTTACGCTGAGGTACAGAAGGTAGATAATTAACAAGTAAACAGGTTACCGTAACAAAATAGGGTCAGCTACCCCAATGCTTCCCCTCTGCACATTCAAGTGGGAACATCCTCTATATTTGATCATGCTTCAATACAAGTAGATGAAACATGTAACTAAATCAAACAGTTTTCCTTCAGATGGGGCCAGATTCAGCCCAGCCCACACTTACAGTCAGAGTAAAATCATAACAGTCAGGGAGCTCGTGATGACGAATAGTCTGCAGATTAATGGCCTTCAGTTTAAACTGCAGCTCCACTGTTAGGAGTCTAGGGAACAGAGGAGGCTTTAGTGCGGTGAAAACATGCACACACAAACACAAATTACACTCCCATCTACCTCCCTCACCTGTGAAAGTCCAGTGTTAAGTTGAGCTTATTTTCTTCCAGTGTTCCAATGTGAAAAGGTTCATTGGGCTCTACAAAGAAACATTCTGCCATAGAAAGGAACAAAACATTCTGTACATAGCCTAAAACAAATAAGTAAAACTGCATCTTGAAAGGAGAATACATTTAAGACTCAATTATTCAGACTCTACTATTTTTCTGAATTAAGATTTAAGAGCTAAAAGTCAAAACCACTTGGTTACAATGAGTTATTTGTTTTTCAAGACACAAGTAGATGCAACATTTCTGGAGTGGGTGGAGGGCACTAGACCTGAATTCCATCTTCCTAGTATTCTCTAGAATGCTATCTTCCTGCCTGCTTCTGTAAGCCTAAATTTTGGATCCCTTCTCCCTTTTTGGTATCCTAAGCATAAGTTTGAAAAACTTGAAGTGCTTACAACAATATTTTCTAGGTTTAAAGGATCTATTTTTTAAATACTATTTTTCCTCTATACTAGACTACACTTTAGGAAAAAAAAAAAAAAAAAGTGAGACATGGGGCACCTGGGTGGCTCAGTCAGTTAAGCCCCTGACTCTTGATTTTGGCTCAGGTCATGATCTCACAGTTTGTGAGTTTGAGCCCCATATCGGGCTCCATACTGACAGTATGGAGCCTGCTTGAGATTCTCTTTCTCTTACTCTCTCTCTGCCCCTCCCCTGATTGCTCTCACTCTCTCTCTCAAACTAAAAAAATAAACTAAAAATAAAGGGGAGGGGAACAGCATTTTAGAAGGTTTCACTAAATCTGTACTGTAATCCTTTACTATCCCTCTCCAAAAAAATCTCCCAGTGACCACTGTTAAAAGTATCTGAAAAGTTAATGTTTTAGGTACACACTCTAAATAGAACTTCGCTAATAAGAATAAGCCACTGTATTTTAAATTCTGGCTCTGGGGGCACCTGGGTGGCTCAGTTCGTTAAGCATCTGACTTCAGCTCAGGTCATGATCTCACAGTTCATGGGTTCGAGCCCCACGTCAGGCTCTGTGCTGACAGCTAGCTTAGAGCCTGGAGCCTGTTTCAGATTCTGTATCTCCCTCTCTTTCTTACCCTCCCCTGTTCATGCTGTCTCTCTCTCTCAGAAATAAATAAAACATAAAAAAAATTTTTTTTTAATTTTCTGGTTTCTCCCGGAAATGACCCACAAAGATACTAAGCGGTGGAGTGCAGTTGAGGGGAGGGAGTTTTATACACATTGCCAATTTGCAAATACAATGTCTTCCAAGGACAGTATAAGTCTATTTCACTGGCTTATCCAGCATAAGAGGCAGCGGAATATAGAGGCCAAGGATACAATGGCTAAGAGCACAGACAGTCTGGGTCAGATTTCAGTGCTGCCTCTTACCGGCTCCGTCTGGAATATATCACTTAACTCTCTCTGAGCCATACTTTGGTCTTCTATAAAATGAGGATAATAATACATCTTGCCTTATTGGTCTCTTGTTGCTTTTACAAAAAAATTACAAGGGGCACCTAGGTGGCTCAGTCAGTTAAGGGTCTGACTTTGGTTCAGGTCATGACCTCGCAGTTTGTGAGTTCAAGCCCTGTGTCAGGCTCTGAGCTGTCGGCTCAGAGCCTGAAGCCTGCTTTGGATTCTGTGTCTCCCTCTCTCTCTGCCCCTCCCCTGCCCTCTCTCTCTCTCTCTCTCAAAAATAAATATATGTTAAAAAATTTTTTTAAAAATTACGAGTTGCAGTAAAGGGCTTGGGACAGTACCTGATACATAACTCCTACATAGTTTCTCACTATGACCTAACAGTACAGACCAAATCAACATTTTCAGGGACGAAATTGCTAATTTTAAGTATAAATCAAGGAGTTAAAACATAGAAGCTCTAGTTTTTTGAAGAGAATCACCAGTCTCCATCTCTGGATCAATGTCAAAGGTATCATTTCCAGGACAGATGTTTCCTTGCTTGTAGAAGTGCTGACAGATCGCCATAGCAGACTGCTCTGTACCCTTGTTCTCGTATGCATGATTCCCCACTGAGATACTACGTAGCTGCAAGTACTTGAACAGAGAAAGAGAAACAGAGAATGAGAATACCAGCCAGGCAGAAATGAAGCCATGATTCCCTACCCAGACAATCTTTGAAATGGGCAGGTCCCACCCTGCTTTCTGGAGGGAAACACTCACATTCACGTTGATGTACATAGTATGTGACGTGCTAATGTACACCAGGACGGCAGACAGAAAAAGCACTACAGTCTCACTTCTGTGACTGTGGGCAAGTCATAAACTTTCTGAGCCTTTGGTTCCTTGTCTACAAAATTAAAGGCTTAACTCACGTCATCTCTGCAGTTCTTTCCTTCTTAAAAGAACTAGGTTTGGGAACTGATTTGTGCATTCAGCGTGAATACTAACTTTATCTTTGAACTATTTCTCGTAAGATCAGAGCTCCACTTTGCTGCTGTAACATAGGAAGGGGGATACAGCTGTTCCAAGCTAACATGTGAAACTTAAAAAATAGTTTCATATTTATCTTTGCAAGAACAGTTTAGTCACGTTCACAGCAATATTCCCTCATCCTGGGGAGTCCTCTAAACAAACAAACAAAAAATATAAATTTACCAATGAGAAGCTTATGGTACTTTGGAACAATCATCAACTTAGACTCTGAATGGATTTCTGTAGAAGAAAAAAAGTGCTTCAGAGCTTATTATGAACAATGCTGTTTGGAGCAATCAGTGATACAAAGATGGGGATATGGTAGCCATCTCTTAGATTTAGTGGGACACACAGATAAATAATTCTACTAAAAAAAATGCATGTGAAACATGCTAAAATCAGTGAAAGAAATCATTTACAATCTGGGCCTGGGGGTGAGCTGGGCCTTGTCCAGGCCACCAAGAGCAGCATTTTACCAGACCTGAGGCATGGTTCTCAGCTCTTATTGAACTCAGCTTCCCACAGTGCTTTCCCTTTCACAGGACACTTTCTCCCCTTGACTTCTGGGACACAGGCACTCTGTCTTAGTCTCCTTGGCCAAATCCTGCTCTTGCCAACCTCTGTCAGAGTGCCCCTGGAATCCTCGGACACAGTGCCCAGTCCTCGACTTCTCCATCCACATTCTTCCCATAAGTGATCTCAACCAGCCCCAGGGTGAAACACTATCTGTATGTCGATGACCTCCAAATCCAAAGATCTCCAGACCTTTCCACCCAATCCCATACATGGGTAGCAGTCTGCCTGCACAACACCTCTGGTGTTGTAAATGTGCCAACAGAAAACCAGCTTCTTCCATGAAAATGTCTTTCTCAATCAGTGACTCCATAAGCCAATCAGCCTCACAGGCCAAAACTTAGAAATGACCCTTTACTCTCTTTTTCTCATACTCCACTTCCGGCCTAACCGAAAGTCATGCATTACTTTCAAATTACCTCCCAAATCTGACTGTCTCTCATCGCCTTGTCCACATCACCTCATCTCTCACCCCGACAAACTGAATATCTTCTGTGGTCTTCCTGCTTCCCGTCGGCCTCTCACCACAGTCCAGCCTCCATAGAGAACTCACAGGACTGCTGGGGTGCCTGGGGGCTCAGTCAGTTGAATGTTCGACTCTTGATTTTAGCTCAGGTCATGATCTCAGGGTCATGGGATCGAGTCCCATGATGGGCTCTGCACTGACAGTGTGTAGTAGCCTGCTTGGGATTCTCGTGCTCCCTCTCTCTCTGACCATCCCCTATTCTGTGTCAAAATAAATAAACTTAAAAAAAAAATAAGAATGCACAGGACAGGACTGTTACAGGAAAAAGTGAATTAAATTCATGAAAAGCCCTTAGAACAGTGATACCCAAAACACGAACCTGTTCTAGACTCTGTTCATGCTGTGCCTTCTCCCTGAAAGGCTCCTCCCTGAGATGGCTGCAGTCTGCCCCACCCCCCACACTCTGGTGTGTCCTGCCACCTGTCACTTGCCAGAGAGGCCTTTTCTGACCACCTCCACTCATTCACTCTGCCTGCTGCTGCTGCTTCTTTTTTTTTTCTTACAGTACACTTACATGTATTTATAACCAACTGACAAAGGTATCCTTATTTACTTATTTACTGCCTATCTTTCCCTATTAGAATAGGACTTCCTTGACTTTGTCTATTTGCTCACTGTAGTATCCATGTATCAAAAACATTATCTGATACACAACAGATGCTAAGGAATAAATATTAGCCTTTGCTAATATTAGAGTCTCTCCCCCACTGAAAGCCCTCCTATAGCTTCCAGTCTCTCTGAGAATAAATTCCAAAGCTCCTTTCCAGGGCCTGTAAAGCCCTGAGAGACGTAGCCCAGCCACACTCCCCTCCTTGGTACTTTCTCAAACATGCTAAATGTATTCCGGCTTCAAGAGCCTTTGCTGTTACTACTCCTTCAGCCTGGAATATTCTTCCCCAGACTTCGAGTCCTCAGGGAGGCCTTTTTTGATCACCTTGAAGAAACTGTTAATATTCTTGTGCTACTTAATTTTACTCCATAGCACTCATTACTATCTGAAATCAAATAATTTGGGTTAAAACTTACTAAAATCCACCTCCATCGGGGCACCTGGGTAGTTCAGTCAGCTCAGGTCATGATCTCAAAGTTCATGGTTCAAGCCCCACATCCGGCTCTGTGCTGACAGTGCAGAGCCTGGAGCCTGCTTCAGATTCTGAGTCTCCCTCACTCTCTGCCCCTCCCCGTTCATGCTCTCTCTCTTTCTCTCTCTCTCAAAAATAAATGAACATTACATTTTTTTAAAAAACCCACCTCTTTCATTAGAATGTAAATTCCACAGGGCAAGAAATTTATCAGGGCTACTGCTCTAATCCCAGCACTTAAAACAGTAGTAGGCATAGGGTAGGTGCTCAAATATTTGTCAAATTCATGATAAGGTAAACAATATTCTAATACAACAGCTGCTCCTCATTCACGAGAGCTCCTGTATTCACAGTGAGACGGGAAACAACAGGGTTCGTAACTGCAGCATCAAGCTCTCTGTTGGCGATGGGACTGGGAAAAGGAGCCAGAAATCCATGGTAATAAAAGTAAGCTGCAGACGTCGCATCCTACATGTAGGGGGCAAATAGTATAATGTGGAGATAGTCAGTTTTGAGGTTTTTGTTTTCTACTCGAGGCAGTAAGTGTATTAAGCCTTGCTAACGCTACTCTGAGCCACATTGGTAGTTTTGTTTTGGGACTGGGAAGGGGTAAAAGGTAAATAGTCCATTAAACGAAAACAAAGGTAAAAGGTATTGAGTGTGGTAAGGTCCGAGGTAGACCAGCGTGCCAGCAGTGGGGTGGGGGGGTGGCAAAGAAAGTTGGAGAGACAAGTAGGGTCTTGAAGCAGAGTCACACAAGTACGGGCCCTTCTGAGTGTCCACTGTCTGCGAGCCAAACCTCACAGGAATTACCTAAAGATCTGAACCTCCTGACCCCAGAAACTTGTACATCTTGAACTCTGGAAGACCTTGAGACATAAAAAAAGCAAAGTGTGGGGCTGTAGGTAACCTGCTCACATAAGATAGGCTATGGCCAGAGTGCCCTGCTGTCCTTCTAAGGCTCTTTGTGGAAGTCTGTGCAAGAGCTGGATGGTCAGAGGCAAGTGGCAGGACTGTGTCCAGCGAAGAGGCAGCCCTGGGGCTAGAGTCAGAGCACTGGGGCAGGAATGTGGTGGGCGACTATGGCTGGAAGGCGGGTGACCTGCTGGAGTGACCCATGGGGCCCCCAAGTGGCTGTGGCCTCTGTGGGGCTTTAATGAGGCAGGGCGTCTGTCACTTACCTCTGCAGCTCTGCCTTGACAGAGGAATTTTTCACACAGATCCAGAATCCTGTGTAATAACTTATTCAACCTCCTTCTATTATTACAGTTTTCTGGCCATTTTACGCAATCCAAGGGTTAACAGAAAGCCTTGGTGCCATAAATACATATTTTGTTCTGGCTATCTGCTACCTCGCTGGGCAGAGACTATCTCTAGATAATGAGGCGCCATGATTGCACTTTAATAATTTTTTACTTTTCTTGGCAGTTAAGCAATGTTACAATAAAATCATTGTCATGTAGGACACAGAGGCCTTAATTTTTAAATGAACCTTCAGATGCTAGTGGCTATATACGCTCTGCAAAGTTAATATGGTCATTATTGGTTAAGAGCCCCTAAAAGTATACACTCTGAAAACTTAATGAGTACTTACAACCAGGGCCACAGTTCGTAATTTTAAACCCCTGAAGCACTCATCTCAGCCCCTAGCTCTGATTCTTCTCATGAAGTCTTTAAAGTTTCCGTCTCTCTGAAACTAAGCAATAAGATTTTCTCAAGTTTTAGTTTCATAGAAGTTTGATGGTGATATTTTAAAAAATAATTTAAAAATGGTTTTATACCTATCATCACCGAAGTGTTCACCCTTCTACAGTGCAATGTCAGTTTTCAGTATACACAATGCCAACAATTTTGCAGTCTGTTCTTTCTCCCAAGAACGCAAATACTTGATTTACCTGGTTTACTGCAAAGATGATCTGATCGTATACATCACTTTGCGTGTAGACTGCATAAGTGTCATCCATTCGGTCCACATATCCTTTTAAGAAGAGGTGTTTGAATGCTATAGTGTTCTCTTCCTTGAAAGCTACAACCATCTGGTTACTTAGTCCAAAAAAGACCAGCTTCAAAGAAAAAAAAAAGGAAAAGAGGGTGAAAAACCAATGAAATAAAAGGTCTCCATGTAATGACCAACTTATCTATTCCAGATTCAATGTTTAATTAATCCTGAATATATTCAATAGAAATTAAAGTTTTGGTAACTGTAAGTTAATTTGACCTTAAAGAGAAAGTGGGCTTCTAGTTTTAAAATGGAAGAAAGTAGGGGCGCCTGAGTGGCTCAGTCGGTTAAGTGTCCAACTTCAGCTCAGGTTTGTGATCTCACAGTTTATGAGTTCAAGCTCCATGTTGGGCTCTGTGCTGACAGCTCACAGCCTGGGGCCTGCTTCAGATTCTGTGTCTCCCTCTCTCTCTCTGCCCCTCCTCAGCTCACACTCTGTTTCTCTCACTCTCTTAAAAATAAACATTAAAAAAAAATTTTAATAAAATGAAAGAAAGTAGCTTTGCACATTTTCATGTATGATCTATGGTTTTACTTAGGATGTTGCTCCCACCACCAAAAGCTTTATTTCAGAGAAGTCCTTGTTTAGGAATTTAGAGAAACTAGGTCTCTCTGGCTAAAGAAATGGGAAAGTTTCTTTAAGAAAGAAATAATGATAGGGGCGCCTGGGTGGCTTAGTTGGTTAAGCATCCGACTTTCGCTTAGGTCATGATCTCGCGGTTCGTGGGTTCGAGCCCCGCGTCGGGCTCTGTGCTGACTGCCAGCTCAGAGCCTGGGGCCTATTTCAGTCTGTGACTCCCTCCTCTGCTCACGCTATCTCTCTCTCTCTCTCCTAGAAATAAAAAAAAATATTAAAAAAAAAAAAAAAAAGAAAGAAAGAATGATAGAAACCCCTTAAAGTATGTGCATAACTTGGGTGAGGGCATTTGAAGAGCTATAGCGGGTGGGGGGGGAGTGGGGGGGAAAGAGAAAAAGAAGGTGGAGTGGAACTTAGCACTTTGGTGGGGGACACTGAGGATCCCAGCATAATCCAATTAAAGAAACAGCAAGAAAAAAATGTCAACATAAAAACTGGGCTGACAGCTTGGAGTCTGGAGCCCGCTTCGGATTCTGTGTCTTCCTCTCTCTACTCCCTCCCCAGCTCACATTCTGTCTCTCTCTCTCTTCAAAAATAAAATAAAAACATAAAATTTTTTTTAAGATTTTAAATAACTTATGCAGAACACCAAGAAGGTTTTGAAGAACGTGTACAATGCAATACAAGAAATACCTTAAGTAAGTCTAAGTCCTCCAATCAAACCACTTTATAGTTAATTATCACCATTTAGTTACCAAAACTGTGACAGTAAGACCAAAAATAAAAATATCCTCTCAACTGATCTCTAAATTAAAGAAATTCGTATAACATATCCTTACATATTCATGAAGGATTGACCCCAGAGTTTTATATGAAACTCAGTTATCCATGCAAAAAATATTGTCTAACTGCATTACTGTATTAACATAAGCTTTTTCAGCCATAGCTGAAACTTTATTGTACTCAAAGTCTCTCTTCCCTCCAAAACTATCTCTGTCTCTTGCTCTCTTGCACATTCTCTCTCTCACTCACTCTCACCTGCTCTCGTTCTCTGATACAGACACACACACACACACACACACACACACACACACTCACACTGTACATTTAGAACATACACTCTGACTTGGATCCCAGAGAGATGCAGGCTGTGTTTTATATGGGAAAAGGGAACAACACCGAGTACCTATGTGCCATACCAGGAGCTTCCCTCATATGAAACCCACAGTACAGTTCCTAATATACCCATTTTATAGATGGGTACATAAAGGCAGAGAAGTTAAATAATTTTGTTCAAGTCACACCACTAGCAAGTGTGTAGTCAAAATCTGAACCCAAGTCCAGCAGACTAAATCCAAGCTCTCGCCACCCTAGCATGCTACACAAAGTAGACCAGGGTCTTACTGGGGGGAAGTAAAGGACACAAATCTTTTCTCTTTTCACCTCTCCTCATGAGGTATGTCCTGTACCCAACACACCTCAGTGCTCTCCACCTAACTGGACTTCTTTTTCTGATGAGCCTCTTTAAGCCAAGTATCCAAGTTTTTAAATCCTAATAAGATGACAGCTTGATCTTCCGGGGATTTTATATCTAATGAAGCTGGTGACTGAAAAGCCTCCAGAGAATTCCTAAAGAGCAATTACCAATGCAGTTAAGTACATGAGACCTCCCTCATGCCAGCACTGAGCTGGGTCCTGAGGATGCCTGGTCCCTGGCTCCAGGGGTGCATCCAGGGCAGAGAGAGAACCGATGCAATGCAGAGACCCAGCCAGGTAGTGGGGGAAGGGAAGACTTTAGCAGGGTGCCTGTCAATGTAGGCATCGTTCTTTTGTTACTGCAGACCCAAAATCTCTAAGTGAACAGAAAGACCACCTTCTCTTCCCTGAAAAGAGGGAATCTGTCACCAAATCATCCCTACTTGCTCAGACACGAAGTTTTTATGTAGCATTTGCTTGGGTGCCCCAATACAGATTGAGGAAGCATCACAATTAAGAAAAACCCTCAGTTCCTTTTAAGAACATCCCTAAATGCCTTTCATATGTGTATTACTAACAGGCTTAAAAAATAAACCATTGGTTGATTTTCCTCATGAGCGCCCTAGGAAACAGGACAGTTAGATGAGCTCCCTAAAAGATTAGGAGTAATTAAGCAGACGAGTCTTAGAATAAAATCTGAGTTGAATCTCAGCTCTCCTCTTCTGGTTTCCTGACTCTGACAGACTACTGTGCCTCAATGAGCCTCAATATTCTCATCTGTGACATCGGGATACCACTACTTACCTCTGACTTAAGAACTGAACATGATGATGTTCAGCCCCCAATACAGCAAACACTCAAGTGGTAACTATCATACTAAGTAGAAAATATTCATGTTCATCTGATACAGGCTTTTCCCTCTACTTGTCAGAAACAACAAAGATAAAATTTTCCACTATTAATGATGCACTGTATTGTCACCTGGAAGAATTGCAAATCCAACTTGCCAAATATTATATGGAGAATTGAACATCCATTTTAATGGTGACATGTTAGAAAGAGAGCAAGCACCTTCCTCTAAACTCTTGACTAGTCATGTGGCTTTTTAAAAACTCTATAAACATCAGTTTCCTCTTCCACAAAATGAAGGATGCTAATTTTTATCCAATAGAAGCATTATTATAATGAAACGAAATAATGTCCTGGGGCAGAGTAGTCACTCAAATATTAGATTCATTTACATAACATCTAGCATGAGAAACTTGGGCAAAAATTCTTCCAACTTCAGATGATTGTAGAAATTCCCTTAGCTTCTAACCTTAAGCATTTGTGCTCAATAATCAGTTAAGTGTTAGTGATTTCAGGGCTTTAAAATTTTTTCCTTGAATACTTGTTATTTATTTACATATGCATTTTTTTCAACAAGAGAAAGTATTAATAAAAATAAACCTGTCACATCTATTTTTCCTGTTAACACCTGCTTTTATGTTTGCTCTTTCACTTTTAAGGAGAGATCGTTACTCTTACAAGTAGGAAAATATACCTTCACAAGAGTAAATCGTACCCAATATATATATAAAGAATTGCAAAATATATGGTTTTCCCCAAAAATGTCAACAGAAGTCGAGGAAATGAGATTCAAATTCTGCTAAAGTCTCAGGTCTCACTATGTATGCCACTCATTTTTAGTTAACTCCATATATGTCCACTGCAGGGTCCCCATGATCACAAGGCTGTGAGAATCCAGACACTTGCCTTAACAGAAACCTTTGAAATTTCTGAAGAGAGAGAAATTCCCAGGACACTAACCAGGAAGGAAAAGAATCCTCTGGTTGGGCAACAGCTAGTTTTCATGGATGATTTAAAAATCTCCAGCTTCTCTATTGGAAACCAAATATTAAAATCTTTTTTTTCCTGAAAACAGATTCCATTTTGTTTTTTGGGGTTTTTTGGTTTTGTGGGGTTTTTTAGAGTTTATTTTTGAGAGAGACAGAGCACAACTGGGAGAGGGAAAGTGAGAGAGAGAGAGAGAGAGAGAAAGAGAGAGAGAGATAGAATCTGAAGCAGGCTCCAGACTCTGAGCTGTTAGCACACAGCCCGACGTGGTCATGACCTGAGCTGAAGTCAGGTGCTTAACCCACTGAGCCACCCAGATGCATGCATTTTGTGACTAAAATTGTAATTTAATGAAAGATGAGAAGGGAAAATTTAAGGGAAAAAACCCCAAAGTCTTCTTTCACAGATATTGAAGAGAGAAGGGTTTAAGACTGTATGTTTCCTTATTTATTGTTCTCCATTATACATACAGTTCAAAATTATAAAAAACCATTGTCCATGCTCCTTTTTGTTACTAAAAGAGGTCTTCACTAAACTCATGATTTGAGATGCTTACCTGTACAGTCACCATTGCAATTTTTAGAATCTGTATGCCAAGCTTCCATGGCTTTCTACCACGAGCCCAGAACTTCTCACAGGGATTCATGAAAAAAAATTTGAGTTTTCGCCTCATTTGGTCTTCTAACAGAAGCTCCACAGAGGGCGATGTATGCTGGTTGAAAGTGCAGCGATTCTCCTCTTCATGAGAGCTGCAGCTACTGATAACAACTTCAGGATTTGCCATCTCTAGGAAGAGCAAAAACAAAACAAAACAAAACAAAAAACCACACAATTATTTCCATTCTTTAAGTAAAGATGCAAATCTATATTCTTTGCTATCACAGGATAATTGAAGAAGCCTAAATAAAAGATCTGGTTTCAAATAAGCACCAATGTTCTAAACTGCCCTTCAGACATTTACGGAGTCAATTAGAATATAACATGACATGTTTCTTTTTGTTTCAATTACTAAGTAAATGTTCACCTGATGGAAAGTTACTGAATTCGAGGGCTACTCCTATTAGTAAAATGATTATAAATACACATATATAGGATGTATATGTATACACTTTCTGCCTCAGTCAGTAACAGATATAGTTAGAACAGGGTGATCTGAAAGCCTATGTAAGGGTTTTAGAAGGTAGGTGGACCCCGAAATTACACACAAAATATCGTATACAGGAAGATATGGCCATGTTTCCTGCAGTGATACTTAAAGTTTTGTCATTATCAAAATAAGTTTAAAACCACTGAGTTAAAGGTAGCAAGATGTGGAGTGGAGAACTAAAACCATGTTTGGTGTCTAAAACTGGTTCTATGACTTGACACCTCTGTGACCTAAGGCAAGTCACTCAGCCTCTCTGAGCCTCAGTTTTCTCTTCTACAAAACAGTAATAACAATACCTATATTCATATATTTTGATTAAATAAAAACACAAATAAAGCCCTAGCAGAGGGTCCAACATTGAGCAAGCAGCCTCACTCTCCTTATGGCCCCAATAGCCACGTCAGCTTCCTGAACAGGTAGCAAGATTCTTAAGGGGCAATGGAGGCTCGGGAAACTTACCTATTCTAGAAAGAGGAATGCAGGAGCTTCATTTAAGTCCAAATCCCAATCAGCCATATCACTTGCATTTGATTTTTATTGAGGGCCATATATTTATGTAGTACATTTTACTTTTCAAAGTACCTCATATCTATTATTTCTTTTATCTCTTTGACGAGGATGGGGCTAGTTTTATTGTGTTTGTAGTCTGCTTTTTCAAAATGACAAAGACATCCCTCCAGAAGCAAGATTTTCACTCGGATTTTCACTCAGACCAATACTAATATTACAGAAACCTGTTCAAAATAAACCTAACAGAGTAGAGTTCTTCCCTGTAGAATAGAAAGGCTGGCTCTGTGTGATGTCTTTACAGTGATTTCTACTCAGAGATCAAGGTGGGGGGCGGGATTAAAACAGACTATAATAATACAACCTCTAACAAGTCATTGTTCAGGTATTACACTGCTTTCCAAATTTAGAACCCCTTTTGGTTCCGATTCAAACATTCTTACCAAACCCATCATCTCTAAATAATAGATATTGGCTATAAAAACTAGCCATGGGGAAGCTTTTAAAAATCTCGATTAATGAAAAGATTAACAAGAATACTGCTGAATCAGTAAAAGCATAAAGCCTATTTACAACGGCATAAAAAATAGCATACGCAATACCTTCACAAGGCAACCACCCTACTCGGCCACCCGGGGGCGCCACGCAGGATGCCGGGGTAGGTGGAGACGCCGGGCGGGAGAGAGCCTATTCCGCGGTATTAGACGCGCTCTTACAATCTACAAACTAACACACAGAGGTTGTTTATTCACGGCGATGAGAGGCTTAATTGGATTGAGCAGCAGAAAAGGAGAGAAAACCAGGGAATAGGTGTAAATAGTAAAATCCTCAGTTGACAAAGTAACGCAACCTAATTTCCCCAGAAGCGCTTTCTCACTCCATCAGACACCGAACTCTTCTCTCCCCCCACCCCCCCCGCACCAGCTTCCCCGCTGACGTTGCGCTGGGAGGGGCCGCCGCAGCCCGCCCTCCTCCCCCCTTCGCGACGCCAGCAACTTCGGACGGCTCAGCAGAGCTGCACGCCGCTTTCGCCCCGCGCAGGGGTCCCGGCTTAGCACCCCCATTTCCATCCGCCCCCCACGCCGCCAGTAAAGGCCACTCGAGTCACGAGAGGCTGGCTGCGCAACTTCTGGACCCTCTCTGAGCCCCCGGCTGTCCCCCAGACGGCCACCTCTCCCCAGGTCTTCCAGGGCAAGACTGTGGCCTCAGGTGGCTTCGGGTCTCGGAGTCCCCGCCTCAGGCTTCCCGGTGGGCGGAGGCTTGGACGGGGGGGGGGGGGGGGGGGGGGCGCGCAGCAGAGCCTCCGGCCCGCGCAGCCTGAGTGCGCGCTGACCGCCGACCGACCCCGCGGGGCCACCGCCCGCGACCCCCGGCCGCGGGAGCCGCCGCTGACCTCGGGCAGGCTGCTGAGCGGGCGCTGTGCGGAACCGCTGCAGCTCGCACTCTGCTCCCACCTGCGTCCCGTCCATGGCGCCAACGTCCGGGGGTCCTGACCCTCTCGCAGTGTGTCAGCGACGGCTCGCAACACCGCGGTCCCTGCCTGCGCTCCCCGGGCGCCGTTCCCACGACACCTGATGCCTCCGGGCGGTGCCAGGCCCGACTCACCTGCGGCTGGCGGGGGGAGGGGGAGGGGCGCTGTCAGCGGGACAGGCAGGGGGCGTCAGGTCTTCTCTGGTGCTGGGGGAGAGGCAGGTCGGCGCGCTGCTCTAGAAGCCTCTGAGGCTTTCCTCAGCCGGGTCCAACTGGAGCCCGGAGGCCGGGAGTCGCCGCGGCGGCATCCTCCCCACCGCCGCTTTGACTCGTGACCCCCCTCCCCTTTGCCCCCACTCCTTTCCACGCCCTTTCTGGGTAGTCTTTCAGCCGGCCAGGTGGTGCGAAGGAGTCCTCCGAGTGAGCCTGGCGCTGTCCGCGTCTTGGGCACCCGTTCACGCCCCTCCCGGTTCCTATAAACAACCCGCATAGCCTTCCTCGGGTTTGTCCGGTGCGCAGGGGCTTCGGCGTGGTGGGTGCAGAAAAAGTGCGTGGGCCCCGGGCTTGCTACCGCCAAGGGGCCACCCTTCCGGGTGGAAGCCTCTCACGCACTTGTTGGGGCGGGGGTGGTAGACGTGACGTTGGGTGTAAAGAGCCTGGCGGCGGGTGAGTGAGTGCGCAGTGCTCTCCGGCAGCCGTCGGTTCTGAGGTCTGCCGAAGAGGAAATCGTGAAATGTAAGACTTCTCAAGCCTCAGCCTTTTTACCCTCTCTGGGCCTTACAGCTTTGCAGCATTGCTTGTAAGCGATTAACTAGACTCCTGTAAGCTGGGTGCCGGGGACAGAAAAAGCCCTGGAAAGCTCTTAGAAGAAATGTGTCTGGACATAGTGATGAAGATTCTTTGCGTGGCCAAACATTAGCCAGGCTGCTAAACCTCCTTGGCTCAGCTGTGCCTAGGATTACATTTTTTGTTGTTGTTGTCAAAATCCAGTTTTAGCGAGAACCTTGCTAAGTCAGTTTAATCAAAACACTCCTCCCCCCTCCCCCAATATGTGATCTTAAGTATGTAATTGGGTTCCTCGCCCTCCACCAGCTCCCATGAACTCTGATCACCCTGGGCCGTCGTCAGCAAGAATCTTGTTAGGTGGGTTTAGCCAAAACTCCCCCTGACCTTGTTTTCTCTTGGTAATTTTCCATTCACTGACCCCTCTCCTGCTCCTGGGCTATCAGTTCCCCCTTGCCCATGCTGTGTTACCAGTTGAGCCTCATCTCTCTCTCCCCCACTGTAAAATCCCATTGCAGGGGTCCCTGTAACTATCTGGATGGTCCTAAAAAAAGTCTGCCTTACCATGTTTGTAAAGTATCCTCCAATTTTTTTCTTTAAGAATAGATCTTCCACTATAACCTTTTTCTTCATGAATTCTTTTTAAAAATTAACCCTAATTTACCTGTCAGAAATAGATCAGGAACTTTGATTAATTTTAATTACAGCCACTTCAGGTTTTTTTGGGTTTTTTTTGCCATGGATAAATTTGTAAAAGTCACTGAATATCCATAACAGATAATTCCCCCAAATTATATCAAGAGCTGTCAGATCTTTTAATACATATTATAAGTCCTTTCTTCAAATCTTAAACCAGTTTGCATTAATAATTTATAAATAGAAATATCTTCTCTTGCAGTGGGGTACAAGAATTTTATGCTGTTCATAAATGTGAATCCCAGGTACTGTAAACAAGATAGATATTCCATAGTGCCCAATTGGCACACTCGATTCTCAAGAGCAGTTTGGAAAATATAATTTAATCTCTAATGCCTGTATGCCTCCACATGATTTAACACTATCTCCTTACCATAACAGTAAAGTCTTCATAGCAGTGGGAGTTTGAAATGCCTGATTGTTCAGGAACAATCTGAACTTTGAAGAGGTTCACAGGCATAAATGATGACCCTCACTTAACCCTAGTTGGAGCTGAGTTAAGTAAACTGAAAAGAAGAAAACTGAGTCAGACAAATGGAGGCCCACATTCCCTTTTATACCATTAACTGACTGGGGAATCACTGAGCTTCTCCACCTCCCCATTTCCTTCTATGTATAATCTGTCAAAGGAATGATGAAATTTAATTAATAGTATACATAATAAAGCACACAATACTTTGCCTGGCATATTTTATGTGGTTGTAACTATTGAGCTTTTTTTTACTTTTTATTTTTGGAAAATCTAAATTAATGAAAAGATCGACCATGTTCATGGATTGCAAGACTCAAAATATTGTTAATATACCAATTCTCACCAAATTCATTTATAGTTTCAATCCAATCCCAATCAAAATTCCAGAAAGCTGTTTTGTAGAAATGGACAAGCTGATTCTAAAATTAATATGTAAATACAAAGAGCCAAGAATAACCACAGAATTTGTTTTAAATGTTTATTATGTATTTTGAGAGAGAGGGAGTGCACAGGCAGGGGGAGGGGCAGAGAGAGAGGGAGAGAGCAAGAATCTCAAGCTGGTTCCATGCTGTCAGTGTGGAGCCCCATAGGGGGCTCGATCTCATGAATCGTGAGATCACGACCTGAGCCAAAATCAAAAGTCAGATGCTTAACCAACTGAGCCACCCAGCTGAGCCTAACTACAGCTGTTTTTAAAAATAAGGACAAA